TCTTTAGCCATAAAAGAAATGCAAATTGAAATTTTCTTAATATTATTAATTGTTTTTGTCGGTTATGGAGCTTGAACTCTGAGTATGAGTGCTGTCCTTCAGCTCTTCAGCTCAAGACTAGCACTCTACCACTTGAGCCACAGTGCCACTTCCAGTTTTCTGAGAGTTTTATTGGAGATAAGAGTCTCACAGACTTTCCTGCCCGGGCTGGCTCTGAACCACAATTCTCAGATCTCAGCCTCCTGAGTAGCTAGGATCACAGGTGTGAGCCACCAGTGCCTGGCTTGCCATAGTTTTATTAGAATGTTTTTTTCTTTACACTGAGATATAATTAATGATTTATGCTGATAAATTCAATGGAATCACAGATTCACTGAAGTACTGATTTAAGAATGGTTTTACATCTAGATTTCTAATGCTAAGCTCAACTTAAAGGGGAGAAAGACCTAACAACCAGGTAGAAGAGCATGATACCTAAGTCCAGCATGATACCTAAGTTCAGGAAACCAGAGAAAACCTGAAATAACCAGGTATTTTTTCACCAGCACTGATGGTAGAAGGGTGCTGGATAAGGTTGCTAGGCTATATTAGACAGACAGACAGACAGACAGACAGACAGACAGACAGACAGAGAGAGATAGATAGATAGATAGATAGATAGATAGATAGATAGATAGATAGATAGATAGATAGATAGATAGATAGATAGATAGATGGATAGATAGATGGATAGATGGATGGATAGATGGATGGATAGATGGATGGATAGATGGATGGATGGATAGATAGATAGATAGATAGATAGATAGATAGATAGATAGATAGATAGATAGATAGATAGATAGATAGATAGATAGATAGATAGATAGATAGATAGATAGATAGATGGATAGATAGATGGATAGATGGATGGATAGATGGATGGATAGATGGATGGATGGATAGATGGATGGATGGATAGATGGATAGATAGATAGATAGATAGATAGATAGATAGATAGATAGATAGATAGATAGATAGATAGATAGATAGATAGATAGATAGATAGGTAGGTAGGTAGGTAGGTAGATAGATAGATAGATAGATAGATAGATAGATAGATAGATAGATAGATAGATAGATAGATAGATAGATAGATAGATAGATAGATGGGGCTGGGGCAAGTGTAACTTCAGTGGCTCCATGCTATTTCCCTTATCTTATAACTAAGCCCTCAACTAGATGGTTTCTCAGAGCCTCTGAAATTCTCTATTTTCTTCTTTTGTTTTCTCTCCTTCCTTCCCTCCTTCCTTCCCTCCTCTCTTTTCTACATGTCTATGGCAATAAGCATCAAAACAACAACAACAAAAGTAATAATAATGTAACCAAAGTGACTATATACCAAAACACCAGCAGGAATTGAAAAACACAAAGCTCAATATAAAGCACTGGATAAAGTCCACAAAACTTTCAATACCATGTTACATCCCCTAAGATGGCTATAATATTTCAAACAGGAAAGTGATAGATTTTGGCAAATATATGGGAAAAATGCCATGGGAAGGTTAAAATATTCCAGCCACTGGAGAAAACATTTTGACAATTCCTCAAAAAGTTAAATGCAGAATTATCACATAACCAGCAACTCTAGTTCCCTGCATACCTGTCAGAAACCTGAAGAGTGCTGTCCAAATACTTCTGCAAATATGTTCATAATAATACTATTCATCAATAAATGTCCATCACTAAATGAAAGGCTAAATTGTTTATTCAAAACATATATACACACAATGGACTGTTTATGCAGCCATAAAATAGAATGAGCTAAAATGAGATATGGTATGGCTGGGTGCCAGGGCTCACACCTCTAATGTTAGCTATTCAAGAGACTCAGATCCAGAGGATTGTAATTTGAGTCCAACCCAGGGAGAAAACTCCACTAGATTCGATCTCCAAAATAATCAGCAAAAACCTAGTCTTGAGCAAATAAGTAGAACAAGTGAGAGGCCAGACTGCAGTTAATAATTCAGAAACACAACAAATCAAAGAAAGACTGCATAAATGTGACTGCATTAAACTTCAGAGCTTCTGCACAACGAAGGATATAGCTAGAAAAATATATAGAAACCCCACAGACTGGGAGAAGATCTTCACCACCCATACAACAGACAAGGGTCTCATATCTAAAATATACCATCAGCTCAAGAAATTAAATTCCTCCAAAACAAACCCCCCAAAGAAACAACCATCCCATTAAAAACTGGGCTAAAGACCATAAGAGAGACAGCTCTGAAGAGGAAATATGAATGGCCAAGAGGCACATGAAGAATTGCTCAACATCTCTGGCAAGTCAAAACAACATTGAGATGCCATCACATACCAGTTAGAAGGGCTATAATCAAGAAATCTAACAACGGATGCTGGTGGGGATGTGATCAAAGGAGAACACTATTGCACTGTTGGTCGGAGTGCAAATCTGTTCAGTAATTCTGGAGAGCAGTGCGGAGTTCCTCAAAAGACTACACATAGAGTTCCCTTATGACCCAGCAATCCTACTTCAGGAAATTTACCCAAACGACCCAAAACAAGGACACACTAAAGCCACCAGTACGATGATGTTCACTGCAGCATTATGTAGCATAGCCAAGACATGGAACCAACCCAGATGCTCCTCAGTAGATGAATGGATGAAGAAAATGTGGTGTATATGTATATATATATATATATATACATATATATATATATATATAATGTAATTCTATGTTTCCATTCATAAGGAAAAGGAAAGACATGGAAAAAAATATATTAAAGTGAAATAAGCCAGACCCAAAGAAAAGCAGGTCATCTGTTTTCCCTCATTTGTAAGAACTAGAATATGATATTCTTAACAAGGGATCTCAACAACCCAAGTGCTTAGTACAAAGGACTATATACGATGAAGCATCTTAACACAAACTACAACTTATGGAAATGAGGTTTTCAATAGATCCTGTATATAGTTCATTCTTTTTTCTCTATTGTCTTTTTCTTTCTTCATTTCTCTTAGTTTTTTTGTACCTCGTGTTTTGCAATTTATAGACAATGCAGTATGTGAAAGGGACAGGGAATCACAGAAACAGCAGAACAATGGATGAATCACAGCAACATGGATACTCACTTGACACTATGTTGGATATGAACATTACAACTTGGGGGAGGGAAGAAGGGAGAGGTAGGTGAGAGCTAAAGAGGGATGGGTAACAATGATTAAAAAGAAATGTACTTACTGCCTTACATATATAACTATAACCTCCCCCAGCTCATCACCCTTTTCAATAAAAAAAAACAGAAAGATATAATATGGAGAGAAGAAAAGTATTTTGCTGAGTAAAAATCAGGTACAAGTGTCCTATTAAATTAATCTGCTTATATGAATTATTAATAGGCAAATTCGTGGAGACAACATGAAGAGTAGTGTTGTCCAGAGTTGGGGAGTACTATTTATGGGTATTCAATCTGTTTTTGAGGTGGTTGTGACTATCGTAGGTGCTTCTTGATTGTTTAAACTAAGTATAAAGTATAAAAGTAGTTTAATTTTATATTACATAAAATTTTACATCGATTTTAAAAATTAAAATAATACAAAATGTTGTTGGATAGAGGGATGGAGAATAATGGAAGGGGTGAAACTGATATCGATGTACTACGTGTATAAATGGACATATTGGAGTGAAAGCTCTTTCTAGAATTATTTAGGTAATAAAATTAAATAGAAAAAATAAGAATGCAACACAAAACTGTCCTCTAATCCCAGCAGGATAACTCATCAGACTGGGATTATCCTTCCCTTCATCTCTCCCTTGCTAAGGATGGGAGTAAAATAAACAAATCACAGGAGAAACTAAGAAAGAAGTGGCTAAGAGGGCAACAGCAGAAGGAAAACCATGAAACTGAAAAACTCAGAAAACTGTAAACCAACAGGAAGCTTTTTGTCAAGACAACCACACCACCTATCAGCCAAAATGAAATGAGGAGCCTAAAGTTTCAAATAAGATCCCACTCACTCTGATTTTCATTTCCAAATGTCACAAAAAGTTATTGTAATATATTGCTAGGAATCTAACTCTTACCTTGTACATAATACACACAGAGCATAGCATATATAGTCTATAAATTGGTAAATTATCTTAGCTTCCAGGTATGAATTATAGAGTTCTTGGGGAAATGCTGAAACATCACATTTTAGAGAAAGGATTTAAGCACACCAGTAAACCATATATATGGGTGACCTTGGCAGCAAGAGGGATAGTCCCATTCTTTAGATTGCACATTTTCATCTTTTCTCAATTGTGACTACCATCTTTCATACCAATTTTGATGCTTTCTAAATGAAGCATTGGTCAATTTTATATTAAGGTGATATTAAATTCACTGGTGTACTAGTTTTTTAAATAAAGATGTCTACCCAGGCTACTACCTACTTAAGAGACTAAGATCTGAGTTTAACGTCAAGCCAGGCAGGAAAGTCCTTGGGATGCATATTTGTAATTAATCAGCAAAAAGCCAGAGGTGGAGCTGTGCCTCACTGGTTAGAGACCTGGCCTTGAGCAAAAAAGCTCAGGAATTACCCAGGCCCTAAGTTCAAGCCCCAGGACAGGCACCATTTTTTTTCTTTTTTTTTTCAATACCTATTCATGGGGAAAATTCTCGAAATTTGACTTATTAAACTAGAAAGCAACTTATAAAACCCTTACGTGAACCTAAAACAATTGCAATAAAGATATAACCACTAGGGTCATCTTAAAACACACTTCAGGTAGTTTACTGGCAATCAAATGGAATCCTTCTTTCACACACAAAAGATATATGGACTATGTTTGCTTTTTTAGGTTCAAAACAATGAACACACTTGGTGGTGTATTTTTTTTTTTCTTTCTCATCTAGCCACACCATTCATGGTGAGTTTTCGCACGATGTTTTCAAACTCTCCTGGTACCCATCACATTGAACATAAACTTAGGCTCCACTTAAGAAAGATTACCTTAAGCAATCTAAGGGCAGTCACCCAGCACATCCTAGTCTGTTCTTCTTCCGCACAGAACATTTTCAGGTCTCGGGGCCCTCCTGCTTTGTTAGGCTAGAAGGCCACAGCACATTGTTTATCGTTAATGCATATCTTGAAGGTAACACCTGTTGAAATAAAAGCCACTAAAATTCTCCTATATATAATAGAAAGCTCTCTTTTTCAAAAGAAATTAAAAGAAACTGAAGCTTACCTAAAAGGCTGAGACTTGCTTTACACACATATCAAAATATTAAGCCTGTACCTTAAAGCAGAAGCCATAGGGTGTCGGAGCTCCATGTTTTTTTTTGCCTGCCACTGACACATAGATATCACTAGTGCCAAATTCGCTGAAAAACTGCAAGTGCCGTGGTTCCTTAAATAATAAAAATAAAACAAAAATATATGCACAGATATTGAAATGAATACATATTTTCCCATTTTTGTATTTTGATTACATTATGCTATTTATACCTTGGGCAAAATTATCAATCCCACACAGAATTTTCCATACACTGTCATAAAAATAAACTCACAAAGGATAAAATGAACTGTATCCTAAAGTAGCCAGTAACTCCCTACAGGTTCATATAAGATAGTAAGTGGCAATTAGTTTATAACTTAAGTTCCTTAATTGCATAACCATCATATATCCAATTTTCAATTTAAACTTCTTTTTCTCTTTAGCCATCATTTCATGAAATGTAAGAAAGAAAGGATAGCCAAGAATGGGTTTCTCAAATATTTTCTTTATCTAGGTTTCAAACAGCAGCAGCCTCATCAACAGCAGAAGGTTAGTTTGAGATTCTGTAGCAGTTTGAGAAGGAAAAGAGAAACAGTGGTGATTCCTGCTACATTTAGACTCAAATATCCCTTGGATTTGTGGTCTGGGTGATGCAGTACAGTGAGCTGGGCTCTATGACTGTCATTTTCTACAGAAAAAAAGGAAGTGTGTATAGAGGAATTCAGGGAAATTACCTGCAGAGGAAAGTGTCTAATTTCCAAAGCAAAGTGGGATCATGAGCAGCTATTTCTTCTCTTGGAAATCCATGAGATTTATAGCTGGTCATGGGAAATCACTAGGTCACATTTTTCCAGGATAGGTTAATAACTTGGAGAAGTGCTTAATTCTGAGGGTGAATGTATAATCAAAAGTGGCCAAAATGCATTTGTTCTCTAAGACCTTCTACCAGTAGTGTGGTCTCAGACCAGCAGAGTCTCCATCTTCCCAAAGCCTGTTAGAAATGCAAAGTCTCAGGGCATACCTCAGATCTGCTCAGTCAGCATCTACATTTTAACAATAACCCGGATGATCTCACATGCACTAAAATTTAGCAGCCAAACACACACATGCACTTGTGCACATGTATGCACTTTTTCTTTCTTTCTCTCTTTCTTTCTCTCTCTCTCTCTCTCCCTCCCTCTTTCTCTCTCTCTCTCCAGTAACCTGAGCAGCAATCCCACACAAACCCTAAGAAATTTGTCATTTAGCAGGATACTGACATTCTTCTCTGCGTGTTACCTATCTTTAAGCATTTTATCCTAATAAGTGTTATCCTTAATTGGGGAAGAAGGCAGAAAATTGTAAAAAAAAAAAAAAAAAAAAAAATTAAACTCAGCCTAGGGCCCTTGGAACAATGAGGAAGGAAAGAAATGTCTTACTACCATTAAGATGTTTGCTTTTAATGCTTTATTCTTTGATAGAAAGTGATTTGCTAACAGAAAGGTTTTTTTTCTATGAAGTTGACGACTAAACTCCTTTCCACTCACTGATATAGCAAAAGTCATCATTATAACTCGATCATTCAAACAGCAATGAAGATAGCTCAAGGAACACTGGCTAATAGTAAGAAGCATGTTGATCTCTTCTCCTGATTTACTTTTATGCTAGAACTGTACATGGATCAAAGAGTATAACACAAGTGCAAGATGGCACAGAAAAATCTATGCACATGCACATAGAAAGAAGGAGATGGGAATATAAATATAACTCATCGCATAGCTCTAACGCTTGCAGAAGTAGTCACTACAATTTCCTGTAGAGTCTATCTGATCTTGACTACTTCTGATGATTAGTTGCATGTCTTGATGTGAAAGAAAACATGCAAACTACAGTGGACCTCAAAATCTAAAGCCTCAGATAAGAACAGAGGAAACTCAGGATGGAGAAAAATAAGCAACTATGTACTTAATAAAAAGCATACAGACTACATCAAGCATAGATTGAAACCTTCATGAAATAAAATGAAATAGTTTTAGATAGATTATAGTAAATGGTTTGGATCCAATAATAATTACCAACTCTTGATTTAAATAATAACCAATACAACAAATAAAAGCTCATTTTAATGTATAGTTGATAAATCATCAGAACATACCATGGATACTTCAACTTACCTTTGATGTCCCTTTAGTAGAAAAATACAAGCCAGATCTTCTTAAGAGGAAGTAAATTTTTTTCCAGGACTTCTTTCCCTGTTCTTTTGCATGTAAGAAGCCATGAATTTCAGGATATGTACTTGAACTTAGAAACATCTAGAAGATAAGGATATGACAATGATATCATAGATTTTCAGCAATTAAATATAAACAAAAAAGCCAAACACAACATCCTTTATAAATATAGAAATGATATAGCACAAACAAGAGAAAATAAGTCATTCCAAAAACCTGAGATAAGTTCTCAATGAAAATATACACTCTCAGTGATCAATATTTAGCTAAAACCCCAAATTATAAGTTATCAAAATATCTAGTTGATAAGCTAGACATCATCAAGAGAGTTAAATCCTGATACTTTTCATCATTTTACGTGGTTTCACTTAATATTTTAAGTTTGCCTACCAACTTCATTTATTATAAAGTATAAGTAAAACCACAACCCTGATTTCAATTTTTAGGTGAGAAGTTGAGTCAAGTCAACTACCAACTACAATAATATCTACCATCCTGTGTGCTCTTCTGAACCATGAAGAGAGGTCATTTGTTTCTCCACTCCCTTAAATATGGGTGAATCTAACATAGTTTTGACCAAGATAGAGGAAGTGACACTGCCACTTCTAGAGAGTCCCAGCCCCATGACTTCACTCTTGGGAACTAGCTGGCACATAAGACATGTGATTAACTTGAGAACTACAGTGGGTGAGAAACCTAACGAACTACAAAAACTTTGGAGAATGAGGTAGCATGTGGAGCTAGGAACAAAGCTGTACTTGTACTAAAAATACCAGTCTGGAAGTGGAACCTTGGTCCCCAGCCATGATCCAAAGTCAGATATGATCCACCCAGAAAACTGTTCACAAATCCCTGATCCTCAAAATTGTTGGCAAAAGGTGAACAGGTAATTTAAAGCCATTCAGATTTGAAAGAATGTGTTACACAGTAATAATTAACTGAGGCCGTAGGCACGAGTTGTTCAGGAAATGGAGACAGAAAACAAATAGTTATATGTAAGTGGCTGTGTTCAAGGTCTTTAATAAGGCAGTGGAAATATATTATTGTCCCATTAGAAGAAGAAGATAGAAATCCCTAATAAATGGGAAAAACTGAAACTAAAATAAATTATCAACAAAAACTATGTAATATATTTTAAAGGACTATTCACGGAAGCACTGGTGATAGATATTTGCATTTTAAATGTGAATTGATTTTTTTATTTAATGAGTCACAGATATTAATTAATTGACATGCAAAACAGGCAAGTAGATTTTTTTTTAGTTTGAGTGCTTTCCAAGTTATTAAACCAAACCAATTAAATTTTTTAAAGGGAGTCATAAAGGTCACACTAGAGAAAGGAGAAACCTTTTAAAAAATGGAAACATTGCCTCAGTGGAGAGAAGAGGTCAGGGGCATGTGCAGGACTATCTGATTCCAAAGACTGATTTCTCTTGTTTTTGTAATTTAACATTAAAGCAGTATAACTTATAATTCTGGGAGAGGAGGGTTTGGGGAGGAGGCAGAAGGAAATTCTCGATCTCCTACTGTGTCACAATAGTGAAGTGTCCAGACTGAGATTAGGGGTTCTGGACTGCTGTCATTTACCCTAATATACTAAGGGAGTTCTGGGGAACCCAATAACACAGAAGCAGCCTGTAGGAAGTTCTCTTGGGACTAATCATATACCTCAAGTGTTCTGAAGAGTAGAAACAAAATATGCTCTATTAGAAAGAGCGCAGAAAACAAATTAGTGGTAGATATGTCTACCTAATATACTAAAAGTCATGCTATCTTAGAAATGGTAAATGTTGTCTTCATTAAATCCCAGAGGTTCCCAAGTGAGCACAGCAAAGCCGGAAGCACCGTGCAAAGAACCATACAACCTGCAAAAATAAACTACCACATTTCTGATAACAAAGCTACAAATGCACTGAAAATAAAGTAATAGAAATCATTTACCAGTTTTAACAGCAATGCCTTAGAGAACGACTCTCAAAGAACTGACCATTTGGAAGAAAGGAGTCAAAGAGGCACAATGCTAAGGAGATTTTAATAAGGTATACAAGTATTAGAAATACTAGTTGTATTCTTGAAAGTATCTTAAAATGGTATGCAACTTTTTTCCATCACAGATATTATAAACGTTAGCATGTGAAATGGATGTAGTCTCTATTTTCCTCCACTAATTTAAATGCTAAGTATTTTATCCCAACATGATTGAGGTTATTGATTATAACAGCTAATACTAAGTATCTAACTTGGATTTTTATTTTTTCAAGTATTTACATATTCTTTACATCTAAGATAGAGAAAATTTTTGCCAAGTTTCCTTTTACAATAAGCATTTTAAAATATTTAAAATCCTTTTGCAACTAACCAGGGAAAAGAATATTAGCAGGGACCTTTGTTCACTTAGGTTTTTTTTATTTCTTTTTGGTTTCTCCTTCAGGAAAAATTAATCATTCAAGGCATATCATTTCCAAGTCTAGGAATGAGTGAATAAGAGTGTAAGAGTTTCCATTCATTGTACTATTATTGACATGGTCTAATTAAAACATATTTTACCTGCACAATTTGTGGAGGGGATATTTCTCCATTGGTTTCAGTTGCAAAGGACACCATGTGCTCTGGAAAAAAGTACTGACGAAAAGACACAGGTTAAGTTATCCCCAAACCCAAATTAAGAAAACTACGTTGCAATTGATACAGAAATCAAAAGCCAAAATTCTCTAAACAAGTGTGTCTAACATTTATACAAAGGGATTATTGAGACCATGCCAATCCTGGAATTTAATCTGTGGGTATCTTTAATTGATGCTGTAGGATTTCTCCACTTTTTTTTTCTCACTTCTATTAGTTGTGGAAGCGGGATTCATTTTGACATGTCCATATATGCAAATTATGACCCTTGACCACCCTCCTCGTTCATGCTCCTTCCTACCCTTTCCCTTAGCAAACCAATCTCACCAAGCCTCATTATTCCATATCCACACACTGGCATAAAATATTTTGAATTTATTTACCTCCTTCACCATCTTTGTTCCACTATTACTAATACCTCCAGACAAGACTTGATTTCCATCCTGTCATTTTTGTCAGATCACTGTTCAGAGGGGCTTTACTGTGGAATTTCACACTTGCACATATTGTTTCTTAACCTGCACATGCAGAGCTGAACCCGAAGACTAGCAGACACCCCCTAATGGTGCCCATCATAGAGATGCTAGTGCCTGGAATGATCAAATCCTGCCATCAAGCTGGCAGTGTGCTTGCTCCACATTTCTTTCGAAGTCCCCAAAACTAGGCATTAAAAGACAATTAAATATTTTGCAGTCAAGACACAGAGAAGTAACAGGCAAAAGTGATGCTGCCGAGGATCCCATCGCAGAACAGAAGAGAGCCAGGATGCAGTAGTGTTGCTAAAAGTCTAGGCCTAGGCCTTCCCAGTTACTCTTTTTCCAGACTTGTTTAATCACACAATTCAACCAGGGAAGTTGCTTAAAATATGAATTCCCAGGCCTCAGTCTTGCCTTTTCTGAGTCACTCAGTCTGGGTAGGTCTTGGATTCTGTGTTCTTGATAAGAACTGTGACTCCATTAAGTAAGGTTCATGATGAGACAAGTTTGGAAAACTACACCCTGCTATATTTCTTCCAAAACAGGGTTTCTCAATTACCATTCTACTTACATTTTGGTCTAGTCTATCTGTGCATTATACAGTTTTCAGCAACACGCCAGCAGTGGGTCTTTAACATTGATGTTATGACACCCAAAATATCCTCAGATACTATCATGTGACCCCCAAATTGAAAACAAAAACAAAAACAAAACATTGCTCTGGGTCTACAAAAGGCATGTCCAGTCTTATTTAAATAAAATTCAATAATTCAAAAGAACCACACAGTTCTTTAAATGTGAGTTAAATTCATGCCTTAATAAAGATTCACAACAAGAATACACTTTCCCCTTCAAACCTAATTCTATTTAATTTTTATTAGAACTCTTATTTTCTTTTGTCAAAGATCATCCCATTATGTTTCTATTAATAAGTTAAAATGAAGGAGAATGGAAGATATCTTTCAGGGTTTGAAAATATCCTATTATGGTGTGTATCATATATATTTTATAAAGGATCATTTCAATCCAATTATCCCAAGCTTCATGCAAAAATACGTTACAGCTGCAGAGACAAAAACAATTTAAAGTAATGAGCCCAGAGGCTATTCTGATGACTCTAGATACCCAGTCTTCATTAGGACGTGACACACATTTATTTTCTTTTAAAGAGACTTATAATGAACGTAGTAGTTACTAGATAATGTACTGATTTTTAATCCCATTTCTACTTAGCTTAGAAATAACTGCACTGCAAACAACATTCATTTAAAGGTTGACACATGTCAATCTTACATTTCTGGTTAAGCTACAACACTTCCCATAACCACCAATTACTTTAAAAGATTTCTTATTTAAACTTCCTAAATATTTTAAAGAATTGAAGCTCTAATATTCTGGAATATACTTGAGACCCTATCATAATTAATTTCCCCCAACCAATGTATGGTTATTTTGCTTTGTTCTGTTTTCCTTAAGGACAAAGGAATCAGCATTAATTTCCCCAAATTAGGTTTCCCTATGCTTTGCTTTTAAATTAAATAATCAAATCATCTTCCTTCAGATTTTCTAAAAAAAAAAAAAAAAAAGCTAAAATATAAGTTCCCGTGTATGTAGCTAAACTTCCTAGTATGATGTTGACTAATAATTGCTAAAATGAGAATGTATGCATAATGTTAATGGAGTATATACCTATACTACTAAATTAAATTGTATTTTATTATTGACTAATCCTCCTCTTCATATAAAACCTAATGGGTTCATTTAATTTCCATTGCTGCTTATGGAGATTTCACTTACCATTGGGTTCTTGAAGAATTCATATTTGGCATAATTTTTTCTAAAGTATAGCTTATTTTCCTCTCCCATTCCCCAGGTAGATACCACTTCAACCACCAGCTCATGGTCTTCTATTGCTCTTTCTGTGAAGAAAACTTTAGTGAGTATGTTGACAGACAGTTTGACTGGCAAACAGACCATATAATTATATAATCATGCAAGTATATAAAATAGATGAAGCATGTGCTATTATTAAACATAGCAAATTTCAGTTTGATCCTAAAATATCCCAACTGGTAAGATTCCATATCAATTCTGAATTAGTAATGTCATTATACACTGAAGCAGCCATCCATATCCATGCCGTTTTTGCTAACTCTCATTCTGCTTTTATTGCTGTGAAAAGTACAATATGAGTTTGGTAACAGAACTGAGACATGAAAGCTATTCTTTCTGCAACTGAGATGTGAGAGCTATTCTTTCCACAACTCATCACAGTGCCAAAATTAAAATATTTGTTCCAAAGTTGAACAATTCACCTCATTAAGAGATGGAAGAATTTTGACAGGTTCAATAAGCAGTTAAAGCACATTATCTGGGTTGTTGAAGAAAAATTTTAAATAGGTACTTTAAATGAAAAAGTTGAATGCAGGTAGACAGAGGTTTTTAAGAAAGCTCAGTTTCTTGTGGCACTTGACACTTTCAAAGCGAATATTAAGGAAATTCTATTTTGTATTAACAATAAAGGCAGCAAAACAGGCTGGGAAGGTGGCTCAGTGGTAGAGTGCTTGCCTTGCATGCATGAGGCTCTGGGTTCGATTCCTCAGCACCACATAAGCAGAAAAAGTCAGAAGTGGTGCTGTGGCTCAAATGGTAGAGCGCTTGCCTTGAGCTGAAGAACTGAGGGACAGCACCCAGGCCTAGAGTTCAAGCTCCACGACCAACCAAAAAAAAAAAAAAAAAAAAAAGGCAGAAAAGATAGGAAAACCCTTAACAGAAAAGACAAACTAAGCAATGACAACTTTAAATAGATAAAACAACAACAACATGCAAAGATTCTATCTTAATAGTGATGATGACATTAATAATAGTATTGTTCACAGTACAACCCAGACTATAAAGTACCCAAATACCTGTAGCCAGGAGAATGAATGGGTGATAGAAAAGCCCACAGTACCGCTGTACTACAACCATGAGCAAAAGTGTGGATGGGTTCAAACACAGGTGAAAAGGGCCATGGCAGGACCCTGACATGAGGTTCAAAACAGGGAAAATTAGCCTGCGGTGCTAAAACTTAGGGTAACAAAGTTTACCTTGCAAGTGGGGTGTGGGGAACAAGTAGGATAAGGGACACAATGTCTGAGAGCTATCTGAGCTGTCCACATGTGCTGTACACACTTCTTTTTTTTTTAATATTTTTTATTATTTATTTTTTATTGTGAAAATACTGTACAGAGGGGTTACAATTACATGGGCAAGATAATGAGTACATTTCTTATCAAGCATTGTAGCCTCCTCCTTTGTGTCCCCTTCCGATCCCTTCCCATCCTCCCCGGCCCCAGTCCCTATCCTCTCGGATCCCTTCCCATCCTCCCTGGCCCCCCACCCTATCCTCTCAGCTCACTCCCCCCACACACCAAAGTTGTAAAGTTCGTTTTCAACATAATGACTTGTACATCTCATTGTTGCAATGGGTCCACCTGTATCCCTATTTAAATGATTTGTTTTTCCCCTTCCCCTCCACAAAGTATACCAACATCAAATACAGTGAATCAGGTGTTATACCATGGGGGAGGGACATACAAAGCAACAAAGAAATCATCTTATAAATGTGTTAGAAGCAATCGCAAGAAAAGAAAAACATTTTTTTGTGTGTATGTGGTGGGGAAGTCAGTATGGGGCCTTGCATCTGCTAGCCAGGTACTCTATCAATCACTTGATCTATACCTCCAGTCATTTTGTGCTTTAGTTATTTTTTTCAGATAGATTCTTGTTGTGCCTAAGCCAGCATCAAACTATGATCTTCCTATCTATGCTTCCTATGTACCTGAGATTATACTTGTGAACCCTACCATGCTTAACTTGTTTATTGAGACAGGAACTTCACTAATATTTGCTCAGGCTGGCCTTGAGATGATCTTTCTGATCTCCAGATCCCATATAGCTGGGATTATAGGCATAACCCATCATGCTGAGCACCATTTTTCTTTTCTTTGAGGTGTGTGTGTATGTGTGTGTGTGCATTCAAGCACACGCGCACACATGCCTATACAAGAGCTTGAACTCAGAACCTGGGTACTTGTCCCTTAGCATTTTCAAATACCACCTGAGCCACAAAGTCACTTCTGCATTTTTTTTGGTTGTTTAATGGAGATTAAGAGTCTCACAGACTTTCCTGCCTAAACTATCTTCAAACCACAATCCTCAAATCTCAGCCTCCAGAGGAGGTAGGATTGCATGCAAAAGCCACTGGCACCCAGATTGCATCACTTTTCTTATTTTGTGTCATCTTTCAAAATGAAAAAAGGTGTAATCAAAATTTTTTCTCTCTTGTGATTGTTTCTAACACCTTTATAAGATGATTTCTTTGTTGCTTTGTATGTCCCTCCCCTACGATATAACCCTTGTTTTCACTGTGTTTGATGTTGGTATACTTTGTGGAGGGGAAAGGAAAAAACAAATTGTTTAAATAGGGATACAGGTGGACCCATTGCAACAATGAGATGTACAAGACATCATATCAAAAAACAAACTTTTCAACTTTGCGGGGGGTGGGGAGAAGGTGAAAGTGGGGGGAGGGGAGATGGGAAGGGATGAGAAGGGGAAACAAAGGAGGAAGCAACAATGCTCTCAGTATGAAATGTACTCATTACATTGCCCGTGTAATTATAAACCCTCTGTATAGTATTTTCACAATAAAAAAGAAATTAAAAAAAAAGAATTATCAATACAAAGGAGAAAATGGAGAACAGCTAACTAAGAGATATAAATTTCTACTTTTTTTTTTTTTAGTGTTTCTAGACCTTTTTGAAAAGTATCTGTGTCTTAGAAATTCAATGCTCGGTAGTGATCTGTGACCTACTATACCTGAACTCTTAAAAGTAATGTCATACTTAAATAGGAGCTTCCTCATCTGAAAGGAAGTTCTTGAAAAGTACCCAATGAATATGGATGAATTTGAGTTAAGTGCATCTACACTCAGAGCTCTGCTCCTAACTCTGATTGTTCCTCTTCTGTCTCACCGACTGTCTCCCTTCACTGCCTCTCCTTCCTAACGCATAGTCCTTGGATTTACTCTCTCCTTTATCCCTCTCTAAAGGAATTCATTCTCCTCTTCTTCTATGACATCTATCAGGTTCCTTGAAGTGAATCTGTGCCTACAAATGCTTTTATCCATGCTTCAGTCCTAACTGGGATACTCTCCACCATCACAACCACAGTTTGTTGAAAACCAAAATCAAGAAGGCTCTTCAAAATAGCAAACACAATTACCATATGATTAAACAATCCCACTTTTGGACACACAGCCAAAGGAAATAAAAATAGAGATTGAAAGAAATATTTGTTCATTAAATGTTCATAATAACATCCCCAAGAGCCAAATCAGAAACAACCCAATGGCTGTTAAGGGATAAATACACACAGTAGGAATGAGGATCTGACAAAAAAAAGTACAACATGCATGAGCCTTGAAGATATATGAAGAGTGAAATAAGACAGATACACATGCTATGTGATTCCACTTACATATGGTACCTAGAGTGGCCAAAATTCATAAAGAACTAAAGAACCATAGTTGCCAGGGAATAGGGGAAATTAGAAGTTATTGTTGTTTAGTTGGCACAGAGTTTCAGTATGGAAAGATAAAAGGTCCTAAAGAAAATGGAGGTGGAGTTTGCCTATGAATGTGAACGCATATAGTGCCACTGAACTGTGCATTTAAAACTTGTAGGGTAACTGGATGGTGGTGGCTCATACCTGTAACCCTAGCTACTCAGGAGGCTGAGATATGAAGATCATGGTTCAAAGCCAGTCTGGGCAGAAAAGGCCATAATACTCTTATATTCAATAAACCACCAGAAAACTGGAAGTGGTTGTAGGGATAGGAAGGGAAAAGATGGAGAAGGATGGAAGTGAGGATGTTGAACTAGATGCATTATATTCATAACCTGACTTATGGGATTTTAATCTTTTTGTAATCTCTTAAATTTTAAAAAGTTCTTATGAGTGATGAGTTGGGGGCAGTACAGAAAGCACTGGGGGTCTTCATTAAGTTACATGAGACAGCATATTGACAGCAATTTTATGCTATGTACATCTGGCTATACATTTGAAAAAAAATCTGAAAAGCATACTTGAAACTGATTTTCCTTCCTAAATTATCTTAAAGTTGTCCTGCCCACCTTTTCTAAAAGAAGATAAAATCAAAATTTACCATGGTATCTTTCTTTATCTCCATTCCAATATCATTTGCTTCTCACAGCCACAGCTGCTGGGTGTTGCTCCCAGTGTGTCTCAAAAGCCCCAACCCTATTCCCAAAACCAATCCTCAGGTGCATCTTCTTACATGGCCTCCTCTCATTTCTACTTCCTCCAATCCAACCTGGGAATTGCTATCTTGAAAACCCTCCTAGAGCATCTATATTAGTATAAATCCTGCCCACAGTGCATTCCTACATCTACTTGTTACAGCAGTAAACCTATTAATCTGGCAACTACAACTCATTCATTCATCCACCCATTCAACATATCGTCAACTGAAGACCACAGTGGGTCAGACATTCTTCTTGGAGCTGCAATGTTATAATAGACAAAATAGTAAGAAATAACGGCCTTCACGGTTCTTTCATTCAAATGAGCAAACCCAGATGATAAGTAAAAAAAAAGTGCATATTAAAGATGGCAATAAGGCCCAAAGAAGAAAATGGAGCAGGGAAGAGAGGGGAAGGGAGTCCATTTCCAGTGGTGCTCCAAAAAGGCTCAATGAGAAAAATGTTTGAGCAAAGCCCACAGGAAGGGAGCCCTGGGCTGAGGGTAAGGCTGATTTGTTCCCAACACAGCAATGAAGTTAATGTGACTAAAGCTAAGTGAGAAAAGGAAGAGATTCTCAGGAGAAAAGTCAAGAAATAAGAGTCACAAGATG